AATTTGAAACTTGATTGGCTAAATTTAATTAATTATAATGTTAAAATTTGTAATTAGGACATAGGTTAGATAACTTTTAAATTAGAATTGAAATATCTGCCTAAAGAGAAGATGCCTATGTGAAGCTTGCACTTAAGAAAAAATAACGTTTTGAATGAACATGTATTGTATGAAATAAGTGCTTGAAAAACAAAATCTAAATGAAAAGATCATATTAAGTATTGAATTATTCCTTTAATTTTTAATAAAATTTAAAGTTTAAATACTATAAAAAAAAAAAAAATCAATTTATTTTATTCCCTATATTGAAGAGAAGGTTCATTGGAAACGTCAAATACAATGTTAAGCGTAGTTATTGTAATTATTGGGAATTATTGTTGGAAATGACTGGGTAAAAAAAAAATCTGATAAGTAATATTTAAAGAAATTCCCTTTACATTATAATAACTCAGTTACAAGTTTTAAATAATTTAAAAAAAAAAAAAAAACTTATTTTTCCCTTTCAGAAATGTTCAGAGAAAGTCAAATACTATTTAATACCTATTTAATTATTAGGAATTAGCGAAATACTTATTTCGCATTTCCTTTTAATCATTATTATAAATTGATACTTTTTCGATTTAAAAAAAGCCAAAATACACTTTAAGAAAGATCTTAAGCTTTTGTACCTTAAATCTAATAAAAATAAATTATTACCTTAATTTTTTATGATGCAAACTTCGAGCATCTGTTGTAACATTCAAGCTATAGTACACCATCTGCATTCATGTCCAATAAATGTTTCAAATTAATCACTCTCTTGTTTCCTTTCCCATCTTCTACATCTGCTACCACTTACCCTTGAGATTTCCGGGCATAGGTTCCTATGCAATTCTTAATCCTTATGATGTGCCCTACTTCGCCCAGAAGTTTGTCGCAACATTTACGGGATACCCTGCAGGGTTCCCCCCCCCCCAATGTGCTTGTATTTTTTATATTTGTCAAAGTAACATTATAATGATAGAGCTGTAAGCCTTTATGTACGGAAAACTATTCGTAATATATTTGGGAATTGAGTGCAAATACAGTCAAACTTGCTTAACAAGCACCTTCCATAAGGAGACATTATGACGTTACATGCAGGATCCTGCTTGTATCTCGGTTATTAGTCCGAGTTTAGCGCTCGTTCAACTAGCCTCTTATTGTAGTTTTTAAAATTTCTATTCAGACGCATTATTATGTCCTTTTTCTTAGTACGAATTTTAAGCATGTTTACACGTTTGTCCGGGGAAAAAATATCGTAAGAAGACAGGGATAAAAAAAGAAAATTACTGTAAAATTCAAACGTCAAATCACTGTGAAACAAGAACGAGGTGTCAACATATCTAACCTTGAATGCACATATAATCAGTGTACATAAACGATTTGCTCTATCCTCAAAAAACAAGGATAAAATTATCGATATTGATACTTCAAAGGGTGTCACAAAAATTTCCCCACAACGGGTGCGTATTTTCGACGATGTTGAAAGATTCTTTATCATATGCATCAAAGAGAAGCAAATGCAAGACGATAGAAGAGACAACACTATGAACAGAAACATAATTTGTGAGAAGGCAAAACTCATTTTTATCGAACTCATTAAGAAGATGCATTCAAGGCCGTCCGCGGTGGTTCGAAAAGTTTGAGAGAAGAACGGGCACCTACAAGGCAAGGAGAAATAGCAAACGGAGACATAAAGGCAGTCGAGAATTTCAGCAGCATATTCAAGAAACTTGTGAATTTTGAAGGTAATCTGCTACAGCAGGTTTTTAATTGTGATAAGGTGGGTTTCTGATGGAAAAAATGCCGAAGTGCTTTTGTATTACAGCACCGGCGAAGGCGTTATCGAAGACCAAGCCAATGGAAAGACCATCTCACCCTGTTGTTTTGTGCAAATGCTGGTGATGATTTGAAAATTAAATAGGTACCCGCTTACCATTCTGACAATGTATGAGCCTTCATGAAGTATAAAGTCCAGAAGAGCAGCCTAAATTCCATGTGAAGGTCCAACAACAATGTGACACATGTCCTGTTTACAGATTCGATCAATGAAGTGTTCGATCCATCAATAAAAATCATCTGCTTGAGATGAAGTTGCCAATGCGTACCTTGCTTGTTATGGAAAACACTCCTGCACTTCCTCCAGGTCTAGAAAATTACATCTTTTAATTTAAATTCATCAAGATTCGGTTCTAACTCCCAAAAGCACTGCTTTACTGTAGCAGAATGGCCAGCAGGTCATTTTAAATTTTAAAAAGCTTTACACTGAAGCACTAATCGAGTGCTGTTTCGAGGTCGTAAAAGGAAACCATCTCACTCCCAGAGTTTTGGAAAGACCATTTTCCCATCATTGCCTACCTCAAGATGATCCACAGGGCATGAGAGGATTACAAAGAGAACCCTTACTTTTTCATGGAAGAAGCTTTGACCGAACCGTGTTGTCGAACTCGACTTTGAGTGGTTTGAGCAAGTGCCTTATAATTGACGAGACTGTGTCTGTGGCCAAGATTCTGGGAATAGATGTAAATAGCAACAACATCGATCAGTTATTTGGAACAGTAATAGCTAGGAATTGACCACCGAAGAGTTTATGAAGCGGCATTCTGTGTCGTCACAGCGAGGAATTTTGAAGAAAATATCACCAGGGAAGGAGGAGATAACACCCTTAAGAAAGCAACAAATGTCCAGTGAAATAAGAGAGATGCTCTATGAATGGGAAATTCTTGCATCGTACATTGAGAAGCATCATTCTGATAAGACAATAGCTATGCGTGCTACATATTTATTTAACGATAATATTGTGTCTCATTATCGCTAAATTTTCGAGCGCATATGAAAACAAACGTCATAGACAACTTTCCCATAAAAAATAGAATGTATTATAAATAGTAAATTATAGTATTATAAATTTCTTTGAGTATTTTTTTCGAAATGGAACGGTTTCTCCTATTTTGCATTAAATTTAATGGGAAAAATTTGTTTGTTTAAGTGTTTAAGTTTCTACTACAATGCTAGAATTTAATATTGCTATTGGTCTTTTATTGCTATCTGCACTACAATAATTATAATTATAAATCCTAATTTTTAAGTTGGGAATGCTCCTCGTTTTAATGAGAAAGCTTTTCACTAACTGATAATAAAAGGTGCGAAGCTGCACAATTTTGAGTCCCTCATGGATTGCAACATAACGCACATACCATGGTGCACCAGTAATTTGGAGGAGAACAGAGTTCTGCGCTGTTCGTAATTTTTTGCTATACGATTTATAAGAATAAGCCCACAATGGACAGACATAAGAAAGCATGGAAGGCGAAATGATTTATAAATAAATAACTTGTTATCCATAGATAGAACGTTGTTTCGAGCAATTAACAGGAAGAGTTTCGTTTTACGCACTCGAAACTTCTGGATAATAGCTTGTATGTGTGGGTACCACTCCAAGATAAATGACTTGCTTAAGCCAGGGCAAACTAATGCCATAAAATTTAAGAGTTTTCCAATATTTTTCTTCTTTGTGAACATGATTGCCACAGTTTTGTCTACGTTGACTTGAATTTTCCATTGCTTAAGCCAGGTCTCTAATGCTTGTATGTGGTTTTGTAAGTCTTGGATGACTGGACTCAGAAATGCACTTTGTACAAGGATCGCTGTGTCATTAGCGTACATTGCAAGCGCAGTGTTGGGATTGCTAGGAATGTCGTTTATATAAATATTGAAGAGTGTGGAGGTCCAATTGCGATCCTTGTGGAACATCTGCTAGAATAGGTCGGCTAGTCGAGTATGTGCTTGAAATGCGGACGACAAAATGTCTACCTGTTAGGTACCTATGTGTGTAATGTAATCTAGCAGTCATGTAGATAATATAGAAATGTTTCTTATATACGAAATAAACATTTGTAGTTCTCAAATAACTTTCATTCTGGAAACAGTTCTCACAACTAACAACACCTGCAGCAATTGTGAGAAAAGTTCGCAGTAGTATTATAATATCTGGAATTCTGTTTTGAAGCTTGTATTTTTGAGTAAACTGTAAAAATTCAAAAGACCGCCCTTCCATGCTCATGTTTACTCTGAACTACTACTCTCTTAACGGGGAATTCTTCCTTAATAATGTCATCGTGATCTTTCGTAGATATTCGTAATTTTCAAACAAAAGTTTTGACGGAATAAAAAAAGGTATAACAAGCTGAGATTTTGTGGCGACTCTTTGAATAGGTTATCGCCAGGAAAAAACTATTTTTCAGTTTATTTCCATATAGCAATTCAGAATGTAGTATTATACTTTACCTGTCTGACGATCCACACGACTAACCCTGTAAAGCATTCATTTATTTTTATTAACCAATTATTTTAAAGAGCGTTTCTGTCTTTCTCGCTTTTCCATTTTCCTGCCAGAATGGTAATTTCTAGTTCGCGGGTATTCAAATGAGGCTGGAAAAGATAATATTTAAAAGGAAATTTTTAGATGGTAAAATCAGAGTATCGCGCCTGCTGCAGGCCACGTTACTAGTTGAATCTCTTGATAGCGGTTTATCTGCGAGAGTGCATTATTCTCGCCATTAGGCTTGCGACGTCGATACTTAGGTTTCAGCCAACTCGCGCGCATTCTGTCTGTGTAGCTTTTGGACTAACTTGCAATTTGCTTAGTTTAATTTCAATTCATTACTTGAGTTATGCTATAAATGTTGGCTGGTTCTGTAAGCACGAACAATGCCTTCTATTAATCTATCGATTTTAATGAAAGGGTATTTTACATCCTTTCCTAGTCTCTGTTGTAATTTCCAAGACATAGTGAAAAGTCGCTTACGTCTTACAGAGTTCTCATCTAGTTAATGTTACAAAGAGGGTGAAACTCTGTAACCCTTATAAAATGGTGTTTCACGTGAAAAATGCCACCCAAAATGTGCCGCCCGAGGCGCATTGCCCACCTCTAGCTACGCCGCTGTGCAAGAATGCTTATTTTTTTAACTTAAAATAATTTAATAATAAATAAATTATATTGAGAACCTGTCATCATTGTGCTTGCAAATGCAATGCCTAATTTGAGTTGTGCTTTCTCCAGTTTTACGGATGCAAACTGCACTGGGTAATGTTGTTGAACCATGACCCAAACAATTTCTCTTCCTTCGTTGTATTTGTTGTGGATCGCACAGTTGCTGGTAAGTAGAACAGGAGCTCCATGATCCCCATTCCGACCACTCACCTGGTGAAAAAGATAATTAAATAAAGAACAAAATTTTTTAAATTAACCATTCTAAAATTTTGTTACAATAGTTTATCAAAACACTCAAAAGCGAATGTATTACATTAAATGAATCAAACATTTAATTTATTATTATTTTTATTATTTTCTCGTAACTTAAATAAAGAAGTTATATTTGCATTTCTATTCTTTACGTTCAGTTTAAGAAATCAAAAAAAAAAAAAAAAAAAAAATTACAAAGTATAATTATCTTTTATACACTGTATATAAGCCGTGAATTTTTTGCTACAGGAGTTCGGGAGTTAGTTTATATATGAGTGCAAGCTGATTTAATCGTTTCATCATGTATTGGTTCCCAAATTCCATCAGGTTATTTGACTATGGGAAGAAACAGTAAGGTTATTTGCATTAACGCAGATTACCTTCGTGGAGGAGTTTTTAAGAAAAACTGGCTCGCATTCGCTTTACTCATGACGGAAACGAACCATGCAGCCAAACCGTTCGCATGAGTTCGAACGCGGGTCGAGCTACCAGCATTCAGCGGTTTTAATCTCTTAGCCAGTGGTAGGCCTGCATCGTTGTCACCCGCCTGGTAGATAAAATTCTTTCCTATCTATGTATGTATGGAACATTTAATTGGAAGAATTACGTCCAAAGGGGCGTTTTTTAAACATTTTGTGTGTTACCTTTATTTATTAAATTTCATGTTCTTCGCACTTAAACCATAAAATTCAGTACAAGAGCAATATCGCAAAATAATTTTTAAATGAACATATCTTTAGAATTTCTAATACACAGTCTCGCGCGCTGGAGATATATATATATATATATTTTTTCCCTGTACGATGTTGCCATTGCTCGCTTTGAAATCCTTCAGTTTGTTAATTAAAAATTCGTTAAAGCTTTACAAAATATGAATTCGATAATAAAACAAATTCCAAATTTCAAATTTGGGCTTCCAGGTGCCCATATTCGCAGCAGGATTACGTTATTCAAAATTTGGCGGCTCTAGATACCTTTGTTTTATCACAATGCGAGAAACATACATACATTTATGCAAATGCTTCATTATTTAATTTCTTTAAATATAATGCAGGGCAATAATAATTGGTGGAAAAATTTGAAAAGTGAAATGAAACAACGCTTGTAGTGAATCAACGCAAAATGCCAAAACGAAATTAATAGCACTTCTGGACAAATTGCCCCTTTGAACTAATAAAATGCATTTGTTTTTATTTAAATTAATTGAAAGGCTTACCTGGCAAAAGAAGAGACGAGGTTGTCAATTTAGAAGCTGATATAGGAAGAGGACAAATGCAGGGTCTCGTCTCAACTATTTCAGATGGTTTTACACAAAGATTCTGAGCCCCTTTGCAAAGACGTTTGCGAATACGAATACGAGTACCGTCACACGTGCCGTTTTTAGTACACGAACTCCATTCGGTCCACGGTCTTAAGGCTATATAAGGAAACAAATTAATCTTAGAGAAGTATATCATTAATATCTCGATAAAAGTGCTTTTTTAGAAAATGTGTACTAATAAAGCTATTGTATGCAGAAATGCACCAAATAACTGAGTGTTTTTCTTGCTATGCTTCGAACTAAGTAGCACAGGATTAAATCAGGAGAAATAGTATCTCTTTCAACAATCAATGATGCATTTTGCCATCTGTCCTTAAAGATTTTCAGCATAAAGCTGGAACCCCTATTTTAATTCTGGAGAACTTTATCATCTTTGTGAAGTTTAACAAAGTTACAAAGGAAAAAGTCAATAATGTTGGTTCGGTAACAGCTTTTATTTTGGCATATTTTTATCGGATTACTTTTATATTCCAGAATCTAGCGCTCTTATGTATATTGTTGCGTGCGTACGGGTTCGTTACGAAATGAATGCACAAGTCCGATGAAAAATGAACAAAAATTTATTATTATCACAACAAAAATGCTTAAATTTTCTCAAATTATCATGCAGTATTACAATATCTCACAGTAGTTATCTTTTAACTACTCAAATATCCAATAGAACGTAATTCAAAACAGCTAAAGAACGCTAATCCGCGAATTCGCTACAATCAACAACAGTAGTTTTCTAAACAACAACAAACTAAGCAACTACTACAAACTGAGATGTTTTCCTCCTTTTATAAGCTTTTAAAATCACGCGCTAGAATTTTCCAGTACTTTCTCGAAATCAAAAAGAGATATTTATTTATTGAATGCACGCGCTCTTGTATTTTCAATTTTCCGGCTTAGCTTTCTTTTAATATTCGTCACGCGCTGCACTGCGCGAGAAATAAAACCATTTAATTTATAATTGAACTAACATTAGCTTTTTAAATACCAAATTCGTAACACTGCCCCCTTCCCAAGGACTGCACGTCCCGGGCAGTACAATCTCTGGACAGGAAGCTAAACTTACAACTGTGGCATAAATGCATTAATAAGCATTACATTACAATAATAAACAACATGAACAATAAATGCAATACATAAAACAAATCAAATGCTATCAAATACAAATCAAATACACATTTAAAAACAAAATGGACCATGGTCTTATACTATTTACAATTATTTACATTATGTACTATGGCCATTGTAGTGAGCTAACATGTCGTAATGAACGACTTTAGGTTTAGAGTTCGAACACTTACGGATCATGACGTCATTCAGTCTCTTCAGGACTGTATATGGACCATCCGAAGGTGACTGTAATTTAGGACTCAGTCCTTTTCGTTGAATTGGGTTCCACAACCACACCTTGTCTCTTTTGTTGAATCTATGTCAAGTAGCTCTCGCGTTGTATCTGGTCTTCACTTTCTCCGTCGCCAAGCTCACTCGCTTTCGTGCGGAACGGTGCATCACTTCAAAACGGGCCTTGACATCTTGGATGTGTTCCTCAGGCGATGAAGGCGCATCCGTACGGCGATGAAACAGGCGGTCACAAGGCAGACGAAGGTCTCGACTGAAGAGCATCTGAGATGGAGAATAGCTGGTAGTCTGGTGTTTCTTTTCGACCCTAGCATGATTTCGGCTGTTTCTCGAGCTGGTTCTTTCGGACAAAGCGTCGGCATTTCCAGGTGAGGATCCCTTCTTAGGATGGATAGTAGTGTCTTCAGATCCTGAAAGCAGTTTGTTGTTTTTCAAGTCTAAGGAAAAATTGTATTTCCTTAAAAAGTCCAATCCGAGTATGCATGGATCTGTAATATCCGCCACATATGCCGTGTGATGGTAGGCGGCACTTCCAAATGTGATTTTCACGTTTAACTTCCCAGCTATGTCGATCTTTTCACCAGACGCAGTCTGAAGGGTAACACAGGATGGCGTCCAAATAAGTTTATCTTTAAACTGTTCAGCTAAATCTTTCCTAATGATGGTAACATTAGCTCCTGTGTCAATGATCATATTGCAAGGAACTCCATCGATATTCCCATTCATGGACAGTCCGTTATTGTTGCCACTCACTATAGAGATCTTAAGCGCTTTAAAACAGGGTTTTTCATTATCTGGCAACCTCCGTTCCTTGATATGGTCATTAATTTGTTTCCTGCGTCGTTGCTCAGAAATTGTCTCAATTTTTCGTACCCTGGGGTGTTCTGCAATTCTTTCGTACGTGGCCTTCAGCTCCACAGTTCCAGCACTTTGGTTTCTTGTCAGTCCTTTTCCTTCCCGTGGCATTTAATTGTCTGTTTAAATCGTATGCCTTATTTTCCGTGCTCTGGGGAGTTCTGCAGTTCCTTCGTAGGTGGCCTTCAACACCGCAATTCCAGCACTTTTGGGTCGGTTTTGTTTCACCACTATTCCGTCTTAAAGCATTCACTGGTCTTATCATATTGAAGAAAGAGTTTCTTCGGTGAAAGAAGAAATAGAAGAAAGAGTTTCTTCTGTAAAAGAACATATAGAAGGGAAAGTTTCTGCTGTGGAGGAACGAATTGAAGGAAGAGTTTATGCCGTCCAACACCAAATCGAACAACAAATTGATGATAGGGTTTCTGCAGTAGCCAAAGAAGTGGATATTTTAAAGAAATTCGTAGCGACGGCAGGGAATAATAGTGATGGTTTTAAATTCTTACCCGATGCCTGCTCGTCCATCTCTGAAGCTATCCACATATGATGGGAAGACATCCTGGCAAGTGTATAAACACAATTTTCTATAGTTGCGGATGCGAATGGATGGGATTCCCACGAAGGCCTGTCATCTCGCCGCTCTTTAGAGCCGACGCAGCGGATATCCTTCAGACTCTTCCCGAAAACAAAAGGTTAGATTTCGAAGCTCTGTCCGGCGCCTTGGAGCTGCGCTTTGGGGAGAAGTGTTTAAAAGACTACAGCAGGCAACTCATTCGTTTCATTATCCGTGCCCTGGGGTGTTCTGCAATGCCGTCGTAGGTGACCTTCAGAACCACATCTCCAACATCTTACAGCCACTTTGTTGTCACTGCTACTCCATATCAAAGCATCGACTTGTCTGGATAAATCATCTAAACGAGCCATCAGTTGATCCACTGGCTCATGGACTCGCACAGCTCTAACTGGGTAGCGATCTCTATTAGTTGCTTGCTGGGCTGCCTCGAACTTCATGGCGTACAACAGAGCGCTTTTTATGTCCTTTACATCTGCCATTCGAAGAGCTTTCTGTATTTCAGGATCCCGGATGCCGTCGATGAAATATTGCAGCGACAGGATTTCTTGTTTTTCTGTCGGGCACTCCGAAAAGGCGAGGTGGACAGCCTTTCAACATCCGTGGCGAGCTCCTGAAGTTGTTCGGTAGGCTTCTGTTGACGAGATTTTAATTGGAGCCTGCTGTAGTCTTTTTAAAACACTTTCTCCCCAAAGCGCAGCTCCAAGGCGCCGGACAGAGCTTCGAAATCTAACCTTTTGTTTTCGGGGAAGAGTCTGAAGGATATCCGCTGCGTCTGCTCTCAAAGAAGCGGCGAGATGATAGGCCTTAGCTTGGGAATTCCATCCATTCGCATCCGCAACTATAGAAAATTGTGTTTTATACACTTGCCAGGATGTCTTCCCATCATATGTGGATAGCTTCAGAGATTGGACGAGCAGGCATCGGTAAGAATTTAAAACCATCACTATTGTTTCCCTGCCGTCGCTACGAATTTCTTTAAAATATCCACTTCTTTGGCTACTGCAGAAAAACCCTATCATCAATTTGTTGTTCGATTTGGTGTTGGACGGCAACAAACTCTTCCTTCAATTCGTTCCTCCACAGCAGAAACTTTCCCTTTCTATATGTTCTTTTACAGAAGAAACTCTTTCTTCTATTTTCTTCTTTCACCGAAGAAACTCTTTCTTCAATATATTTTTACGGAAGAAACTTTTTCTTCAATTTGTCCAACTTATTTCAACTGCGTGAATCCTGCCTTCCATAGCCTTCAAATTTATTTTCTATTGCAAGTAATTTCTCTTTTCATTCTTGTTGACCAGCTTGAACGGCTTTCATTTCGTCCTTAACGGATTCCTGGCGCAATTTCATTTCTTCTTTAACGGATTCCTGGCGCAATTTCATTTCTTCTTTAACGGATTCCTGGCCCAATTTTCATTTCCTCTTTAATTTCTTCTTTAAATGAGGCAAAGGCTGATATTAACTGCCTTAATTGCTCTTCCATCGCTCTTGTTATTGGCATTCAAATCCCACTTCTGACACCAAAAATTGTTGCGTGCGTACGGGTTCGTTACGAAATGAATGCACAAGTCCGATGAAAAATGAACAAAAATTTATTATTATCACAACAAAAATGCTTAAATTTTCTCAAATTATCATGCAGTATTACAATATCTCACAGTAGTTATCTTTTAACTACTCAATATCCAATAGAACGTAATTCAAAACAGCTAAAGAACGCTAATCAGCGAATTCGCTAACTCAACAACAGTAGTTTTTCTAAACAAACAACAACTAAGCAACTACTACAAACTGAGATGTTTTCCTCCTTTTATAAGCTTTTAAAATCACGCGCTAGAATTTTCCAGTACTTTCTCGAAATCAAAAAGAGATATTTATTTATTTATTGCACGCGCTCTTGTATTTTAAATTTTCCGGCTTAGCTTTCTTTTAATATTCGTCACGCGCTGCACTGCGCGAGAAATAAAACCATTTAATTTATAATTGAACTAACATTAGCTTTTTAAATACCAAATTTGTAACACTATTAAATAAAGCTTATGTTTGAATCTCCTCCTTCTTGCATCATAATATCATGATCAGATACGTCGCGTTTCAGAGGTTCTATGAGCCATACTGACGCATTCAAATCTTCATTACCACATTAAAATCGTCTTTAAAATTTTATAAGTGGTTTGCGTATAACGATACATCGTCTGAGAAAATGCAATCTTTTTTAATGACGGATAGACGCATTAAGTTATCAAAATAATTTAATTCTTTTCGATTCAATGTGACATAAACAAGTTGGGTTTAAAATGAAAATCAAAGATAATCAATA